TTTTTAGCATAAATGGACATGTGTTTGCAATGGCTCAATGACCCCACTTAGTGGGGTCTCCGAAACAGTCGGTCAAGACTATCACATTGAGCTCATATGCGTATACGCTACAAATAAATGTAAGGTTCATCCAAATTTTGCCAAATGAAAACCTCTGCTTAGTGTTTCTTGACAGTGGCAGTGTGGGCATGTGGTATGTGTCCAGTGTCCTTAAAATCAAACAAAGTCAAATTCATCAGACTGGTTCTCAATGGCTTGACTACGACACAAGCGACAAAGGCAACATCTACTACACGGACGGCAAGCAGCTAGTGCGGCTAAGATTCAAGTACAACATTCAGATTGACGAGTGCATTGTCCACACCTTGAGAATGGCAGTCCCCGGCGTCCAGGTCTGCAGTTGGCTATACCACAGAGAAGAATTGGTTTGCAGCCAGCTCTGCTGCAGAAAAACTTTCAGATGGAGTATAAAAAGCAGCAGCTCGTTTCTGTGAGTAAAAACATTCACAGATTCAGTTTGGCCTTTAAGATGTACATATATGGAACACCATTGTCACGTTTCTATCTATGACGGGGATGTCGTACATCTGCAGCCCACTCAGAGTCAAGGTCTTCACGCAGATTGTATATTTGCAGTGTTAAATGTTATACTTGTCGACAGCCGCCAGCCCCTCTTCAGCAGTACGTTTTGGAAACTTTTGACATTTTTGATCACCATGTCCACGTCTACTTGCTGCCCACAGAAATACTTGTGAAGAAAAAATGTCGCATGGTGATTCCAATTAGAAAACGGAAAAACCAACTTCTTCCTCGATTCAAATTGCAGCTTGTGGGATTTATTGAGGTTGGTAGCCAAATAAATGCTGTGTTTTTTCCAATATCAGCAGAGAAATGCGAATCTGACTTACCGTGCTGTTTTAAGTGTAAGCCCAGCGGTAAGAAACCTTAGACTGAATGATCTACCGTCGTGTAAAAAACTATGTGGACCGACAATTAGACAGGATATTAGGCTAGCAAGTCATTTGACTCTATCTCGCATATCAGCTTTATTTCGCGTTGCTGACTGCGTTACCCATAACTTTTTAGAATTGTACTTCGTAGACGAAAAGCTTACTTTTCGAGGCACTACAAATGTAGGGGAAATCGATTTAACAGGGATACTGGAAAGCGAAGATGCTTCAGCAATCTACTATTTCAAGCAACATATTATTCTGAATGCGGAAATACTGAATTTACCCCCTGCAACAGTAGAAAACGCTTCAACTTTAAATAAAATATTGGTATGAGTGTATTTAATTTTTTAACTAACATTTAATGTTTAATTTTCAACAGAAATTTCAGTGCGAGTCTGAGAGATTGTACGGAGCACAAAGTAAGGATGTCTTGGACTACGAAACGATTTCTGAAGGATGTTTGAAATCAAAATACAATGCTATTAGAACTGTCATAACTTAAATTTCAATATTGAGCAACTTAATTTGCATGCTTTTGCACAGTCCGGTTTTAACTTAGGTTCTTAAATCTCTGTCTACACGATTTTACGTAATCTAGTTTTTTATTTTAAATTAGTATTATTTTATGTTATTTTAAATTATTTAATTCAGAACCGTTTTTTTGTTTGAGCGAGCCGATCAAAATTTTTAAAAGTTTTATTTGTCGAATGTAAAATCACTTTAAAGAATCGGGTCATTTATCTCCACCAAACACCGACAGTTCGATCGTTTTATATTTTTAACTTTTACCGAAATTTATCTTGAGCCACTTAATCCCCTTAAGCTCTTGGTACGCAAACCTAAACTAAACCTTTCGACGGGTGTACCATCACAGCAGATTTCCAATATACGGCTATATATATTAGTCGCATTTACCCACACCCAGTGCGCTTCGTCCGTACGTCTACTGCCATCCACAGTGAAAAGAATTCCAAAAAAGAGTAGGTAAAAACTTATATTTTTAAAGGACAAAAATTCAAAAGTCTCTTTATCGAACGCTGCAAAAGTTGACCGAAAAAATCTTAGAAATAAATTTTAATCATTTTAAAAACATTACAAGTCCTATTTAAAACAAAAAAAATGTCTTATGGTGGTGTAGGGTCTTAAATTTTTTTCTTCAATGAGTATTAGTCCTTTGATGATTATTAAGTCTAAATTTCAGGTTAATCAAGCCCCACCCCGCATTGCTCCGATCGGGATGATTCTATTTTAAAAATATACTGTTTCGTCTCATTTAAAGCTGTGCATTTAATAAAATGGCTCAGTGAAGTCCGCTGCTTGGCGATTGTGGGCCAAGGATTTAGCGTGATTCGAAGGTAGGAGCAACGCATGCTGTTGCAGACATATCTTGATATTCCTGGAATAGAGAACGGCGAGAGCACGCTGCAACACACATTCGACATTACTTACTACGCAGAAAACATATTTCGGTGCGACTGGAACGACGATAAGTACACTTTCACATCTTTAAAGGTATCCGAAAATTAAGAACATTTCGTGCAGAGCCTGCTTGGGACCAACGCGATCAAATACAACTACATTCACATTTTTAGCATAAATGGACATGTGTTTGCAATGGCTCAATGACCCCACTTAGTGGGGTCTCCGAAACAGTCGGTCAAGACTATCAAATTGAGCTCATATGCGTATACGCTACAAATAAATGTAAGGTTCATCCAAATTTTGCCAAATGAAAACCTCTGCTTAGTGTTTCTTGACAGTGGCAGTGTGGGCATGTGGTATGTGTCCAGTGTCCTTAAAATCAAACAAAGTCAAATTCATCAGACTGGTTCTCAATGGCTTGACTACGACACAAGCGACAATGGCGACATCTACTACACGGACGGCAAGCAGCTAGTGCGGCTAAGATTCTAGTATAACATTCAGATTGACGAGTGCATTGTCCACACCTTGAGAATGGCAGTCCCCGGCGTCCAGGTCTGCAGTTGGCTATACCACAGAGAAGAATTGGTTTGCAGCCAGCTCTGCTGCAGAAAAACTTTCAGATGGAGTATAAAAAGCAGCAGCTCGTTTCTGTGAGTAAAAACATTCACAGATTCAGTTTGGCCTTTAAGATGTATATGGAACACCATTGTCACGTTTCTATCTATGTCGGGGATGTCGTACATCTGCAGCCCACTCAGAGTCAAGGTCTTCACGCAGATTGTATATTTGCAGTGTTAAATGTTATACTTGTCGACAGCCGCCAGCCCCTCTTCAGCAGTACGTTTTGGAAACTTTTGACATTTTTGATCACCATGTCCACGTCTGCTTGCTGCCCACAGAAATACTTGTGAAGAAAAAATGTCGCATGGTGATTCCAATTAGAAAACGGAAAAACCAACTTCTTCCTCGATTCAAATTGCAGCTTGTGGGATTTATTGAGGTTGATAGCCAAATAAATGCTGTGTTTTTTCCAATATCAGCAGAGAAATGCGAATCTGACTTACCGTGCTGTTTTTAGTGTAAGCCCAGCGGTAAGAAACCTTAGACCGAATGATCTACCGTCGTGTAAAAAACTATGTGGACCGACAATTAGACAGGATATTAGGCTAGCAAGTCATTTGACTCTATCTCGCATATCAGCTTTAATTCGCGTTGCTGACTGCGTTACCCATAACTTTTTAGAATTGTACTTCGTAGACGAAAAGCTTACTTTTCGATGCACTACAAATGTAGGCGAAATCGATTTAACAGGGATACTGGAAAGCGAAGATGCTTCAGCAATCTACTATTTCAAGCAACATATTATTCTGAATGCGGAAATACTGAATTTACCCCCTGCAACACTAGGAAACGCTTCAACTTTAAATAAAATATTGGTATGAGTATATTTAATTTTTTAACTAACATTTAATGTTTAATTTTTAACAGAAATTTCAGTGCGAGTCTGAAAGATTGTACGGAGCACAAAGTAAGGATGTCTTGGACTACGAAACGATTTCTGAAGGATGTTTGAAATCGAAATACAATGCTATTAGAACTGTCATAACTTAAATTTCAATATTGAGCAACTTAATTTGCATGCTTTTGCACAGTCCGGTTTTAACTTAGGTTCTTAAATCTCTGTCTACACGATTTTACGTAATCTAGTTTTTTATTTTAAATTAGTATTATTTTATGTTATTTTAAATTATCTAATTCAGAACCGTTTTTTTGTTTGAGCGAGCCGATCAAAATTTTTAAAAGTTTTATTTGTCGAATGTAAAATCACTTTAAAGAATCGGGTCATTGATCTCCACCAAACACCGACAGTTCGATCGTTTTATATTTTTAACTTTTACCGAAATTTCTCTTGAGCCACTTAATCCCCTTAAGCTCTTGGTACGCAAACCTAAACTAAACCTTTCGACTGGTGTACCATCACAGCAGATTTCCAATATACGGCTATATATATTAGTCGCATTTACCCACACCCAGTGCGCTTCGTCCGTACGTCTACTGCCATCCACAGTGAAAAGAATTCCAAAAAAGAGTAGGTAAAAACTTATATTTTTAAAGGACAAAAATTCAAAAGTCTCCTTATCGAACGCTGCAAAAGTTGACCGAAAAAATCTTAGAAATAAATTTTAATCATTTTAAAATCATTACAAGTCCTATTTAAAACAAAAAAAATGTCTTATGGTGGTGTAGGGTCTTAAATTTTTTTCTTCAATGAGTATTAGTCCTTTGATGATTATTAAGTCTAAATTTCAGGTTTATCAAGCCCCACCCCGCATTGCTCCGATCGGGATGATTCTATTTTAAAAATATACTGTTTCGTCGCATTTAAAGCTGTGCATTTAATAAAATGGCTCAGTGAAGTCCGCTGCTTGGCGATTGTGGGCCAAGGATTTAGCGTGATTCGAAGGTAGGAGCAACGCATGCTATTGCAGACATATCTTGATATTCCTGGAATAGAGAACGGCGAGAGCCCGCTGCAACACACATTCGACATTACTTACTACGCAGAAAACATATTTCAGTGCGACTGGAACGACGATAAGTACACTTTGACATCTTTAAAGGTATCCGAAAATTAAGAACATTTCGTGCAGAGCCTGCTTGGGACCAACGCGATCAAATACAACTACATTCACATTTTTAGCATAAATGGACATGTGTTTGCAATGGCTCAATGACCCCACTTAGTGGGGTCTCCGAAACAGTCGGTCAAGACTATCACATTGAGCTCATATGCGTATACGCTACAAATGTAAGGTTCATCCAAATTTTGCCAAATGAAAACCTCTGCTTAGTGTTTCTTGACAGTGGCAGTGTGGGCATGTGGTATGTGTCCAGTGTCCTTAAAATCAAACAAAGTCAAATTCATCAGACTGGTTCTCAATGGCTTGACTACGACACAAGCGACAATGGCGACATCTACTACACGGACGGCAAGCAGCTAGTGCGGCTAAGATTCAAGTACAACATTCAGATTGACGAGTGCATTGTCCACACCTTTAGAATGGCAGTCCCCGGCGTCCAGGTCTGCAGTTGGCTATACCACAGAGAAGAATTGGTTTGCAGCCAGCTCTGCTGCAGAAAAACTTTCAGATGGAGTATAAAAAGCAGCAGCTCGTTTCTGTGAGTAAAAACATTCACAGATTCAGTTTGGCCTTTAAGATGTATATGGAACACCATTGTCACGTTTCTATCTATGACGGGGATGTCGTACATCTGCAGCCCACTCAGAGTCAAGGTCTTCACGCAGATTGTATATTTGCAGTGTTAAATGTTATACTTGTCGACAGCCGCCAGCCCCTCTTCAGCAGTACGTATTGGAAACTTTTGACATTTTTTGATCACCATGTCCACGTCTACTTGCTGCCCACAGAAATGCTTGTGAAGAAAAAATGTCGCATGGTGATTCCAATTAGAAAACGGAAAAACCAACTTCTTCCTCGATTCAAATTGCAGCTTGTGGGATTTATTGAGGTTGATAGCCAAATAAATGCTGTGTTTTTTCCAATATCAGCAGAGAAATGCGAATCTGACTTACCGTGCTGTTTTAAGTGTAAGCCCAGCGGTAAGAAACCTTAGACTGAATGATCTACCGTCGTGTAAAAAACTATGTGGACCGACAATTAGACAGGATATTAGGCTAGCAAGTCATTTGACTCTATCTCGCATATCAGCTTTATTTCGCGTTGCTGACTGCGTTACCCATAACTTTTTAGAATTGTACTTCGTAGACGAAAAGCTTACTTTTCGAGGCACTACAAATGTAGGGGAAATCGATTTAACAGGGATACTGGAAAGCGAAGATGCTTCAGCAATCTACTATTTCAAGCAACGTATTATTCTGAATGCGGAAATACTGAATTTACCCCCTGCAACAGTAGAAAACGCTTCAACTTTAAATAAAATATTGGTATGAGTGTATTTAATTTTTTAACTAACATTTAATGTTTAATTTTCAACAGAAATTTCAGTGCGAGTCTGAGAGATTGTACGGAGCACAAAGTAAGGATGTCTTGGACTACGAAACGATTTCTGAAGGATGTTTGAAATCAAAATACAATGCTATTAGAACTGTCATAACTTAAAATCCATATTGAGCAACTTAATTTGCATGCTTTTGCACAGTCCGGTTTTAACTTAGGTTCTTAAATCTCTGTCTACACGATTTTACGTAATCTAGTTTTTTATTTTAAATTAGTATTATTTTATGTTATTTTAAATTATCTAATTCAGAACCGTTTTTTTGTTTGAGCGAGCCGATCAAAATTTTTAAAAGTTTTATTTGTCGAATGTAAAATCACTTTAAAGAATCGGGTCATTTATCTCCACCAAACACCGACAGTTCGATCGTTTTATATTTTTAACTTTTACCGAAATTTCTCTTGAGCCACTTAATCCCCTTAAGCTCTTGGTACGCAAACCTAAACTAAACCTTTCGACTGGTGTACCATCACAGCAGATTTCCAATATACGGCTATATATATTAGTCGCATTTACCCACACCCAGTGCGCTTCGTCCGTACGTCTACTGCCATCCACAGTGCAAAGAATTCCAAAAAAGAGTAGGTAAAAACTTATATTTTTAAAGGACAAAAATTCAAAAGTCTCCTTATCGAACGCTGCAAAAGTTGACCGAAAAAATCATAGAAATAAATTTTAATCATTTTAAAATCATTACAAGTCCTATTTAAAACAAAAAAAAAATGTCTTATGGTGTTGTAGGGTCTTACATTTTTTTCTTTAATGAGTATTAGTCCTTTGATGAATATTAAGTCTAAATTTCAGGTTAATCAAGCCCCACCCCGCATTGCTTCGTTGGGATGATTCTATTTTAAAAATATACTGTTTCGTCTCATTTAAAGCTGTGCATTTAATAAAATGGCTCAGTGAAGTCCGCTGCTTGACGATTGTGGGCCAAGGATTTAGCGTTATTCGAAGGTAGGAGCAACGCATGCTGTTGCAGACATATCTTGATATTCCTGGAATAGAGAACGGCGAGAGCACGCTGCAACACACATTCGACATTACTTACTACGCAGAAAACATATTTCAGTGCGACTGGAACGACGATAAGTACACTTTGACATCTTTAAAGGTATCCGAAAATTAAGAACATTTCGTGCAGAGCCTGCTTGGGACCAACGCGATCAAATACAACTACATTCACATTTTTAGCATAAATGGACATGTGTTTGCAATGGCTCAATGACCCCACTTAGTGGGGTCTCCGAAACAGTCGGTCAAGACTATCACATTGAGCTCATATGCGTATACGCTACAAATGTAAGGTTCATCCAACTTTTGCCAAATGAAAACCTCTGCTTAGTGTTTCTTGACAGTGGCAGTGTGGGCATGTGGTATGTGTTCAGGGTCCTTAAAATCAAACAAAGTCAAATTCATCAGACTGGTTCTCAATGGCTTGACTACGACACAAGCGACAATGGCAACATCTACTACACGGACGGCAAGCAGCTAGTGCGGCTAAGATTCAAGTACAACATTCAGATTGACGAGTGCATTGTCCACACCTTGAGAATGGCAGTCCCCGGCGTCCAGGTCTGCAGTTGGCTATACCACAGAGAAGAATTGGTTTGCAGCCAGCTCTGCTGCAAAAAAAATTTTCAGATGGAGTATAAAAAGCAGCAGCTCGTTTCTGTGAGTAAAAACATACACAGATTCAGTTTGGCATTTGCAGTGTTAAATGTTATACTTGTCGACAGGCACCCCAATCTTAGAAATATATTTTAATAATGTTAAAAACATTACAAGTCCTATTTAAAACAAAAAAAAATTTCTTATGGTGGTGTAGGGTCTTAAATTTTTTTCTTCAATGAGTATTAAGTATTAAGTCTAAATTTCAGGTTAATCAAGCCCCATCCCGCATTGCTCCGATCGGGATGATTCTATTTTAAAAATAGATGCTTCTTTTGTGCGTTGTTTCTATGCGGTACCAAAAATAACTGCTATGGTAGACGTTTTACTCTTGAGATCGGCCACCACAGACACATTGTACAAATTAACAACTCTTACAGTTTTGGAAATGATAAAAAAACAACAAAACTTCGAACTGTTTTTTTGCATATAGTCATTCTTCTATGTGAAATCGGTTTGACCGATTTTAGGCTTGGGTATTTTAATATGTGGTAGAATAACAGAGCTGAAAAAAAAACCGCATAAAAGCAACAAATTATGTTTTTGTGTATAGAACAAACAGAGTTGGACCAAGAGCGATACCTTGTTGTAACGTTGGATCTCACCGAGAAAACTCTATTGTATAATTCGGTCAAAATCGTTCTGATTTTATGCACTAGCCCATAAAGCCAAAATCGGTCGAAAGCCTATGCGACGAAAGGGAATGTCGCACTGCAGTATTCCCGGTATATGAATGCAGTACGTGTTTTGATTTTTTCAACTTTTTTGGTTTCAATTGCTCTGTGAGCTTTGAGGGCTGCTTTGGGTTGGCGATATTTTCGCAATGTACCAGGGCTGTGCCTTTTCTTCTTCATGCTGCGTGAGTCTGCGATATATATCTTATAGCTCCCACAGGAACAATAGGGTAAAATCGGTTAAATTAATTTTTTCACCATAGTTTTCGCAGTATATAAGCTATTGACCTGAATCTTTCCAAATCGTCTTTTTTAATGCATACCATTATCAGGGTCAAAGCGCATGCCGATCTGACGTCTATATCTTATAGCTCCCATAGGAACAATAGAGTAAACTAGGTTAAAATGTAATTTTTTCACCATATTTCACGCAGTATATAAGATATTGACCTAACGAAAAGGAATATCGCACTGCAGTATTCCCTGTATTTGTATGCTGTCTGTGTTTTAATTTTTTCCACTTTTTTGGTTTCAATTGCTACTTGATGATTTTGGAAACTTCGTTTGGCTGAAACATTCCGTTTTTGTTTCAGTGCGAATTGGAGGCGACGAAAGGTAAAACGAGTTTGTAGAATTGTTTGGCTGAAATAGATTTCGAATACATAACCGCCTGAAGAGTTTTTAATAGCGATGCAGTCATCCATCGTTCGGCGCGCTTGTATTTGGGTGAGCTTTGAAGGGTGCTTTGAAAAGGTTGGCGATATTTTCGCTATGTACCGGGGCAGTGCATTTTCTTAATGCTTTCGTGGTGCGCCTGCGAGTAGCCTCCTTAAGACATTGTTTCGAGGATAGTTATCTGCTGGCTTGCCAAGCACGTCTTTGGGCAAAAAAATTAAAAAGCTTGTTTTGTAAAAGAGGCGTTTGTCTTTTACAAAACATTCTTTTACATTTTTTTTTGATACAGGAGGACAAGGAGTTAAATCAAAACATAATATGTTTATTTAGTAAATCACAATAAATTATAAGAAAATCGGCTTTCACCTTGTCGATTTCATCTGTAACGGATCCCATATTTAAATCTTTGCGAATATTATCATTTCGCTCTTTGAATTTTTAATTTTAAAGGACAAAAAAATTCAAAAGTTTCCTTATCGAACGCTGCAAAAATTTCCCGAAACAATCGCAGAAATTAATCTTAATCATTTAACATTACACGTCCTATTTTTTAAAAAACAAGTGTTTTATGGTGGTGTAGGGTCTTACGTTTTTTTTTTCTTTAATGAGTATGTCGAATCTTTAGTTTTGTTTTCGTGGTATTACGCTATTAAAATAAGAATAAACATGAAATGCTGACTTACTTGGAACTACATTTTTACTTATAATTTGTTATGAATGCCACTCGTTGCTCTTTATTCCCCCTTTCACATTCCTTTCTTTATATGAGTTTCTTGTTGTAAGTGTTGCGTTAAGCCTAACGGAGGTCTGTTATGTGCAGTCTCGGGGGAATGTGGCTGAAAGTTCGGGTGCAGAGGACATTCCATGCTTAAGTAAGCCTTCAATATCAGCTTCATAGGAGAATTTAGGTTCGATTACAAAGTGTGGGCTTATATATTTTTTTATACTTTAGCCAGTTTGTTGTATTGGATGTTAGAAATTGTGGTCGTTCTACAAACTGTGGATGAACAGATAGACAGAGTAAAACAGGCGAGTGGTCAGATGACAGTATCGCCAGGTTTTAACATGTATCCTAGTTACTGCAATATCGATAGTCTGGTTTTTTGTTCGGATCTGCTGGCCAGTATGTGGGTGTACCTTGAGCTTTGACGTCTGGGAGGTTGCTTGCATAGAAGATGTAGCAGTGAGATAGAAATGGTTCTTATTGGTTAGGTGCGTTTCTGAGAGGAGCATGATATCGATGTCCTGGGTGTTTAAGAACTGTAGAAGTTCAAGGGTGTGCTGCGAAGCACCGTAAGCGTTCCAAAAGCATGTTCTTAAGGGATCCATTTAAGTTGACTTTTGTTTGATTAGAAGTTTCATAAGGCTGTTCTGGTTTCGCAATAGTTCCTGGAGGGTACCTTGCATTGAAAGCATGATGTTCGTGAGTGTAGCTAAAGAAGCTTCTATGCTGTTTTGTATTTGTATAGTGTAAGTCTGGTTTTGTTGGTTATAAGGTTGAGTTGGTCTTTGAGCGTTTTGCTCTGGAAGCTAAGTATATTTTGGTCTTTGTATAGGCGGGTGTAATGCTTCGGGCTGAGCGGTTCTTGTAGGCGACAATCCATGTTATCGAAGTGCAGCCGCAAAAGTAACTCCAGTAGTGGTCTGCGAAGAAATGTAAAAATTTGGCTGAGCAACCGTTTGGGCGGAGGTTGGTTGTTGGCGCCTCTGATTGAGCCGACTCTTGATCTCTTTATGGACGGGGCATCCCCTGTATTTAGCAGTGTGGTTTCCACTACAGATGCTACATTTTCTCAGTGCTGGGTCTTCTTTGTTACCCGTGCAAGCTTCTATACAGTGCAGATCGCCACAGGCAACACAGACTGGTCGCAAAGTGCAATAACTTTTTGTGTGCCCAAACTCCTGGCAGTTTGTACACTGTACCGGGCCGTTTCGTTTATGCGGCTCCTCTACGGTTATTCTTCGATGGAGTAGGTATTGCAGTTTGTATATGGTGCACTGCGTTTTTCCTCAGAGTAGTGACGTCTTTAAGTCCTTCAGCTATATCAGCTGCCGGGACGGTTGACTCGATACCCTTTATTACAACATATATATATATATATATATATATATATATATATATATATAGCCGTGTATGTTTATGGTCACATACATTACTTTGCCAAGTCAGTGCGCTGTTGCTAGGCAAAAATTTCGGTAAAAAGAACAAAAACAAAGTCAAAGGTTCCGTTACGTTGTTGGCGACGCTCGGTGTTTTAACATTTGTTTCCTGCCCTCTGAATCTGGTCAGACAATTAAAAAATGGTTAACCCAGGAGACGCGATTCAGCCTCAAAATGATGCTACCAGTGACATCGAGTTTTACCGAGCCAAAGTGCGTTCCGTTTTGCGGCAGTTAAACGCAATGAAAGATTATCTAACTGCTGGAGCTAGTGAGCAGTTTGACGAATCTGATGTCCTCGCGCGGCTGGAATAGGCGAACGCTATGAACTTGGAATTCGATTCTGCATAGACTTCGCTGGAAAAACTGGACTTTTCAGAGATTAGTAAAGATACGCGGCTTAAATTTTCCGCAGTCTTAATGGATTTAAAGGAGAAACTAAATCGGGCCTTATCTTTCAGATTTAGGAAGCCTCGATTGCCAAATCTAGAGATTGCTCGTTTTTAAGGATCGTACTCAAAATGCAACTTTTACCACGGTCATTGGAAATGATGACGAGCTAAATAATATTGAAAAATTACAATATTTGAGGTCCTCTTTATGCGGCGTGGCTTTGGAAACCATACGATCCCTCGAGCCCTCAAATGAAAATTATAAAAAGGCTTTAAATTTACTTATTAATCGATTTGATTTAAATTTTAAAAGGTGTCGAGAAGGGATCAGCTAAGGGTCTTCGGGAGCTCAGCGATTGGATGAATTCGCATCTTCGAGCAATCCGTACCCTGGCCATTACCCAACAAATTCTGTATGGATTTCTCATTCATATCGTGACACACAAGCTGGATCAAAGGACCCGTGAAAAATGGGAAGATGATTTGTCAATCTCTGAGCTATCTACCTGCGCTGCTATGGAGTCGTTCTTAGACAAGAGGTGCAGGATGATGGAAAACTTGGACCAAGCCGTGGTAATTCAAACACCACACCATCAGGTGGGAAAAAGCATGCATAGATATAACCCAAGTGTACTGATTACGTCTGCTACTAACTCAAAACATCTAATTTTCCTATTTTGCGATGCTAGAGATCATTATTAGCCAAAATGCTCCCGATTTTTAAGCTTGAGTCCCAAACTTCGATATAGGGAAGCAAAGCAAATGCACCATTGCGTAAACTGTTTACGCAAGGGGCATAGCTTGCAGCGATGTAAGTCAACTGTCGGTGTCTTCCTTCTTTTAATTTAGTTTCGCCCTTGTCGTCGTTCCTGGTTTATTTTTATTTGGTTGATTTGTTGTTGTTGCCTGGTTTTGTTGAGTTAAGGTTGCTTTGTTAATTTTTTCTAAAACGAATCGAACGCGTTTTTAATTTTTTTATTCAATGTTTTTATTTAAACGTCGAATGGAGGGTCTTAGGATCGAGTTTTTTTTGTACACAGATCGAGGGTCTTACAACGAGTTGTTTTTTTTTTATTTAACACGGGTCGAGGGTCTTACGACGCATTGTTTTTTTTTATTTAACACGGGTCGAGGGTCTTACAACGCGTTGGGTGCCAATTAATTATATGTCCTGTTTAAGGATTTATTGTAATTCATTTCATTTCCAAAATGAAACTAACTGCCTTAACCTTGCATTATTTTATTCAATTACGCATGATCAGCTTGGGAACTTTGCTGGGAAACCGTTTTAACTTATACACCCAATTAGCAGTTAATCAGCATTTCTTTGGTATCCAATTCCTACACGCAGAAAAATGGTTAGAAAGAGCATCCAATTTTTATTGGGTGAGAAAAAATTAAATGTTATATCTATTTAAAATGAAAGATCAAATAACGGTGATGGTTCTTTTAGCAATTTAAAAATGATAACTCCGATTGATTTTTATATCCTTTGAATTGGATAAGACTGCCAACTTTGTTGGAAATGATAACTTATGCTGGAATTCGAATTTCGATTAATGAGTCAACTTTTTTGAAAGGCAGAAAAAAAACTCGATTAATCGTAGTTGAAAATCGTATTCGACTGACTTTTTTCAATCCTCGAAAATTCTGTTGAATTTATAGGTTAAGAGTTACCTTTTTTTAGGAAAATAAATTTTTTCAATTCGAGAAAATTCATCATCAATACTTAAATATACAAAAATAATATCACAAAAGTACATAAAAACGATTATTTAACACGTATACGTGAAAAAAAATAAACGGTAATTAATCATTCAAATAAAGTGTTAAATTTTTGTCAATTTTTAAGCTTACAAAAATCGATAACATCGATTATTTTACAATAATCGACAATCAACTCTCGACTATCATTGGCTTTGCATTTTTCATCCCTATTTTTTTCTGTTCTTTTCGGCTGCTCGCCACGCTCGCTACCACACGCTCGTTCCGGTATTGCGCGTTTTCTTGTGTTTAGTTCCTAGAAAATTCTACAAGAAGAATTTGGAGTTTGGAGTTTTTGCAAAATGTGGATCCCGAGAACGCGGAATTTTTGATTGTTCTTTTCAAAGGTAAGTTCTCTCATGCTCATTAATTGATGCCTGCATTTATAAAACAACAATTTTCTAATAACTATTTTGTTTTCTAGGCAACGTACTATGTACCAAGGCAGCCGAAAACTAATTTGGAAGGTGCGAAGCAGCCCAGGGGTAAATTATATGAAAAATATACCCGTATACTAAAAGATTTGCGTGCTTCAGGATTACGGTCGAAAGAGTCCGAACAGGTATGTCATGAGAAATGTCCCTTTCCATTTCTATAAAGTTTCTTTTTTAACTTTTTTCTCTTAACAGCCAACAACTGTTCATGACGATGGAGTAAAGAGAGATGAACAGGGTGAAATGAAGGAAGACCTGGAGTGGTTAAGACGATGCCTCGAACCCGAGGTTGAGGCTACTGAGCGGTGGAGTAGGACTTCCGATTATCGCCTCCATTCCTTAAGAGCTACTCCTACTAGAAAAAAAGGGAATTCGTCGTCAAATTAATTCAATTACAATTTATTTGAAAATAAAAAAGTTATTGAAAATTTTTTTAAGAAATTAAAATAGATATAATATCACTGGTAGATGGTTTTATGAACCAACTAAATAGCAACCATATACAAAAAAGTTGGATCAAGCAAACAAGCGCTTGTTTTGTCGCACTCTCTCAGTATATCCAATTCCTGTGGGTCCAAGAAAACTAGATAAACCAACCAACAAATTGGATCGCTCCCCAGCATCTATTTAAAATAGTTGTATTATCCAATACACAGATCTATATTTCCAACTATTTTCCTGCGGGTACAAATAAGTATTGCACTACTTGATGAATTTTTACATACAAACTTTGAACTTACCTTTTTCTCTACAGCTCTCTTCTTTCCGAAAATCCTCAACAGTGCATGCCAATTTGATCGATTTGGGTTTAAATTATTTAATTGGAATATTAGCTGACCACGCCATGCCTTTGCCATAATGGTAAGCATAAAAGCCTAAATAAATTTAATATAGCTAAAAAGAAAATGGATTTTATTATAAATGCGCGAAATGAATTTATTTTTAAAGGTACGAACTAGCAGCTTCCAGAGCAGCTAATTCATAGGGGGTGCAAATCTCCATTTAAACTAGTTCGGCCAAGCTCTGTACGCAAAACGCATCTCCTCCTTATTTATCCTTTACGTAAACATCTATTCAGATGCATCGCCCGCTTAAAGATCTCGTATTTTGGCTTGGTTTGGGTTTTATTTTCTCTTTGGTATGCCCCGATCGCACGCAGCAATAATTGAAACCACTTTAATAATAATATTTGAAACCACTTGAAACCAAAAACTTGGGAGCTATATGCTATAGTCGTCCGATTTTGATGAAATTTAAACCGTAAATCGGAAATATTTAACCATTACTATATGTCGAAGAACTAAACAAAAAATTAAAAACCAGCAAATACTTTTGAAAACATTTAAATTATGATTTACTTGAGTATATGCTGAAAAACAGTGAAGCTATGATGACTTGCAGCTCAATTATTAGATAGTTATTTTATATATTTTTATTAGTTCTATGGGAGCTATATGATATAGACGTCCGATTTTGATAAAATTTAAACCATAATTCTGAAATAATTAAACATTGACATATGTCGAAGAACTAAACAAAAAATTAAAAAACAGAAAAGTTATAATTTTTTTTCATTTATTTTTCAGATTCTTCCTATGGGAGCTATATGCTATAGTCGTCCGATTTTGATGAAATTTAAAAGGTAAATCGGAAATATTTATTTATTTTGGAAAGGTTTCATGCAGATAGCTTTAAAACTGAGAGACTAGTTTGCATATAAACGGACGGACAGACGGACAGACAGACGGACAGACGGACATGGCTAGATCGCCTTTACTAGTGATGCTGATCAAGAATATATATACTTTATTCCCTTGCAGAGGGTATTATAATTTCAGTCAGAAGTTTGCAACGCAGTGAAGGAGACGTTTCCGACCCTATAAAGTATATATATTCTTGATCAGCATCACTAGTAGAGTCGATCTAGCCATGTCCGTCTGTCCGTCCGTCTGTCCGTCTGTCCGTCCGTCTGTCCGTCTGTCCGACTGTCCGTCTGTCCGTCCGTTTATATGCAAACTAGTCTCTCAGTTTTAAAGCTATCTGCATGAAACTTTCCCAAAAGTTGTCTTTCTATTGCAGGTAGTATATAAGTCGGAACGAGCCGGATCGGACGACTATAGCATATAGCTCCCATAGGAACAATCGGAAAAATAAATGAAAAAAAATTATAACTTTGCTGTTTTTTAATTTTTTGTTTAGGTCTTCGAGATGTAGTAATGGTTAAATATTTCAGAATTATGTTTTAAATTTCATCAAAATCGGACGACTATAGCATATAGCTCCCATAGGAACAATCGGAAAAATAAATGAAAAAAAAATTATAACTTTTCTGTTCTTTAATTTTTTGTTTAGTTCTTCGACATATAGCAATGTTTAATTATTTCAGAATTATGGTTTAAATTTTATCAAAATCGGACGTCTATAGCATATAGCTCCCATAGAAATAATAAAAATATATAAAATAACTATCTAATAATTGAGCTGCAAATCATCATAGTTTCAATGTTTTTCAGCATATACTCAAGTAAATCATAATTTGAATATTTTCAAAAGTATTTAATTCATGCAATAGCTGCAAGGGTATATGAACTTCGGCTTGCCGAAGTTTGCTTTCTTTCTTGTTTTTCATTTATTTTTCAGATTGTTCCTATGGGAGCTATATGCTATTTCATCAAAATCGGACGACTATAGCATATAGGAACAATCGGAAAAATAAATGAAAAAAAAATTATAACTTTTCTGTTTTTTAATTTTTTGTTTAGTTCTTCGACATATAGCAATGTTTAATTATTTCAGAATTATGGTTTAAATTTTATCAAAATCGGACGTCTATAGCATATAGCTCCCATAGAAATAATAAAAATATATAAAATAACTATCTAATAATTGAGCTGCAAATCATCATAGTTTCAATGTTTTTCAGCATATACTCAAGTAAATCATAATTTGAATATTTTCAAAAGTATTTAATTCATGCAATAGCTGCAAGGGTATATGAACTTCGGCTTGCCGAAGTTTGCTTTCTTTCTTGTTTTTCATTTATTTTTCAGATTGTTCCTATGGGAGCTATATGCTATAGTCGTCCGATTTTGATGAAATTTAAACCGTAAATCGGAAATATTTAACCATTAATAAATGTCGAAGACCTAAACAAAAAATTACAAAAACAGCAAAGTTATATTTTTTTTCATTTATTTTTCCGATTGTTCCTATGGGAGCTATATGCTATAGTCGTCCGATCCGGCTCGTTCCGACTTATATACTACCTGCAATAGAAAGACAACTTTTGGAAAGGTTTCATGCAGATAGCTTTAAAACTGAGAGACTAGTTTGCATATAAACGGACGGACAGACGGACGGACGGACGGACAGACGGACATGGCTAGATCGACTTGCCTAGTGATGCTGATCAAGAATATATATACTTTATAGGGTCGGAGATGTCTCCTTCACTGCGTTGCAAACTTCTGACTGAAATTATAATACCCTCTGCAAGGGTATAAATAAATATAACTTTGCTGTTTTTTTAATTTTTTGTTTAGGTCTTCGACATTTGTTAATGGTTAAATATTTCCGATTTACGGTTTAAATTTCATAAAAATCGGACGACTATAGCATATAGCTCCCATAGGAACAATCGGAAAAATAAATGAAAAAAATTATAACTTTTCTGTTTTTTAATTTTTTGTTTAGTTCTTCGGCATATGGCATATGGCATATGGCCGGATCGGACGACTATAGCATATAGCTCCCATAGGAACAAACATACAAATATTTAACCATTAACAAATGTCGAAGACCTAAACAAAAAATTAAAAAACAGCAAAGTTATATTTATACCCTTGCAGAGGGTATTATAATTTCAGTCAGAAGTTTGCAACGCAGTGAAGGAGACATCTCAGACCCTATAAAGTATATATATTCTTGATCAGCATCACTAGGCGAGTCGATCTAGCCATGTCCGTCTGTCCGTCCGTCTGTCCGTCTGTCCGTCCGTTTATATGCAAACTAGTCTCTCAGTTTTAAAGCTATCTGCATGAAACTTTCCCAAAAGTTGTCTTTCTATTGCAGGTAGTATATAAGTCGGAACGAGCCGGATCGGACGACTATAGCATATAGCTCCCATAGGAACAATCGGAAAAATAAATAAAAAAAAATTATAACTTTGCTGTTTTTTAATTTGTTGTTTAGTTCTTCGACATATAGCAATGGTTAAATATTTCAGAATTATGGTTTAAATTTCATCAAAATCGGACTACTATAGCATATAGCTCCCATAGGAACAATCGGAAAAATAAATGAAAATAAATTATAACTTTGCTGTTTTTTAATTTTTTGTTTAGTTCTTCGACATTTAGTAATGGTTAAATATTTCCGATTTACGGTTTAAATTTCATCAAAATCGGACGACTATAGCATATAGCTCCCATAGGAACAATCGGAAAAATAAATGAAAACAAGAAAGAAAGCAAACTTCGGCAAGCCGAAGTTCATATACCCTTGCAGCTATTGCAAGAATTTAAAATTTTTGAAAACATTGAAATTATGATTTACTGCGTATATGTTTAAAAACATTGAAGCTATGATGATTAGCAGCTCAATTATTTGATAGTTATTTTATATATTTTTATTATTTCTATGGGAGCTATGATATAGACGTCCGATTTTGATAAAATCTAAACCATAATTTTGAAAAATTTAACCATTGCTATATGTCGAAGAACTGAACAAAAAATTAAAAAACAGAAAAGTTATAATTTTTTTCATTTATTTTTCCGATTGTTCCTATGGGAGCTATATGCTATAGTCGTCCGATTTTGTTATAATTTAAACCGTTAATCGAAAATATTTAACCATTACTAAGTGTCGAAAGACTAAACAAAAAATTAAAAACATCAAAGTTATAATTTTTTTCATTTATTTTTCCGATTGTTCCTATGGGAGCTATATGCTATAGTCGTCCGATTTTGATGAAATTTAAACCGTAATTCTGAAATATTTAACCATTACTAAATGTCGAAGAACTAAACAAAAACTTAAAAGAAAGCAAAGTTATAATTTTTTCATTTATTTTTCCGATTGTTCCTATGGGAGCTATATGCTATAGTCGTCCGATCCGGCTCGTTCCGACTTATATACTACCTGCAATAGAAAGACAACTTTTGGGAAAGTTTCATGCAGATAGCTTTAAAACTGAGAGACTAGTTTGCGTAGAAACGGACGGACAGAGGGACATGGCTAGATCGACTCGCCTAGTGATGCTGATCAAGAGTATATATACTTTATAGGGTCGGAGATGTCTCCTTCACTGCGTTGCAAACTGACTGAATTTATTATACCCTCTGCAAAGGTATTAAAACTAAAACTAAGTACGGTGCAGGGATAGT